GACTTCAGAAGTTATGAAATAGCAAGTGGTTTTACTTAAGACTGTTTGTGTTCACAGAGCTAATAGAGCTGCGGCCTCTGCTGTTTTGTTAGCTGGAAGAAAAGAACCTTGGGCAATGGTGTGAAGAGGATGCATGACCTTTCATTATGTTTTTAAGTTTTTCCTTACAAATAAGTTAGACTACTAGCTTTTAAATTTCTTTTTTTTTAAGAATCCAATTCATTTTCTCTGATATTGCACATATTTTGTAATTGGGAATGGATACTGCATTTAGATTTTTGAATTATTTTTCTCATTGCATTTGGCTCATGTTTTGATGTCAAAACAGAGCGTAGGTAAGTGGGAGTTACACCTGGAGTTGTAGAGAAACTCTTGTAGCTGAAGTATCAGATTTTGAATCCTCCTTATGCTACCACATGTCTCGTAAGAAATGAACAAAACTTCACATCCCCTGTCCACCTTTCTGCTTCCTGAAATGAGTGAATGAGCAGGTACTAAGTCAGTGTAATAATGAGGGTTTTCTGGCTCAGTCTGTAACACAGAGCACCATTTTATTTTTTTTTTAAATCTGTTCTTACTCTTAGGCTTGTCCAGTGTGGAAGGTTCTGCCAGTAATTTAAACTCTAGCTGGCATACCTCCTGGAGTCAGGGCAGCATTCAAGACCATCTCTCTGCCAGGGTTGGTAGCAGGGAAAGGAGAGACACACAGGACAAACTTAAAAAAGCAGCAAACAAATTAACGTACAAAAAATATGTAAAAATTAAGCAAAGCAACCTCTCTGCTTAGGCATCGTGCTCTAAATGGGCTGGAAGATGACAAACTGATATTTTGGAATAATTTCTTTTGGCTGTTATTCACAGAAAGAATTCACCATTTCCAGGGGTTTTTTTTGACTTAAAACAATTTTTGTTGTTTTGCTGTTGGCAATGACTCAAAATGATTTCTTTTTCTATCTGTAGGGTCTATGTCCTTCCAGATTCTTAAGTACATACCCAAATGTAAATACACAAACAATATTTCTGAGTGCAGAGGAATTGCTCAAGTGGTTCAAGTTAGACACATAATTAAATTTTTTGTGGAGCTGGTTATGCTGAAAATGCATATCTATAAATTATAACATATATAATATATATAATTTTTAAAATAAGAATTTTCTCCTCCAGAAAGTACACCCAGATATCCTGCAAATATTATTAAACAGCACAGAACACATTAAAAATCTTATTTGGTAATTGCAAAGTTAAATCACATGTAAAGTTGTGTAGTGTGATTTCGTTGAAAATATATTAAGTTTTAATATTGCTGCATTATTTTGAATCCTTATTTAAACAATGGTGGGAGGGAAGAAGAAGAAGATGATATACACTGAAAGCATAAAATAAATAAACAGAGAGTGAAAAAAATATAGTAACTCTGCAAAGTCATATACTCCATCCAAAATCAACTTCATGCAGGTTGTTCAATATAAAAGGAATTGATTAAAAAATGACAAGATAGTCTTTGATATGAGCAGCTGTTGGTGAGATAATTTGCTTTCTTGCTTCTAATAAGTTCATGAATTTTATTAGGAAAATCTGCCTCATGTCTTGAATCAGAAGAAGGTCAAAGGAGATAGCATATTGCATGCATGATGCAAGGAGTACAGTAATGCAAAACAGCTGGGTGGAGTGGACAACAGTTCAAACTGATGTTCAGTCTATTGAAAAAGCAACCTTCTCCTTTTTTTTTTTTATTTTCACACAGAAAAAAAAATGACATTGATAGATTTCTCCTTGAAGAAGCATCTTTTTTTGATCGACTCAAATAAGTTTGCAAACCTGAATGATCTTTATGAAAAATCTTATATTTATGACAAAGCAGTTTTAGAGGTCCTGTAGTTGATTTTAACCAGAACTGCTATCTGCACACCAGTAACCCTGTGTCAGTTTCCACAGGAGAAAATTTGGTGTTTATTGATAAACTCTTCAAAAATATGTGCTTTTCTTATATCAGTATATGAATTTGATATTTATCGATTCACTTATTAATATAAGCCAATAAAATACGCTTAATGTTTTTTTCCGGTTTACTTCATAAATGTGTAGCTATTTTATCAAGTAATTAGTAGATAATGAGTCATGAACAACAAATAACTGCATCTCAGGCATAAATACGTGAACTTTTGGGACTTCCAAACATTTCTTGGAAATTAGGAAGCTACGTAAGTGGTTGTGAGTAAGTGTAAACAGTTTCCCAGCAGTGATGAAATACAGTTACCTTTTTTCCACAGATTTTAAAAACTATTCTCATGCTTTCATTTTTGTCTAGCTTTGTTAGAAGGTATTATGTTTTCATATTCTTTCAAACAGTAGTAGTCATTTAAAATATGGTAATTGGGTTCTGAATAAGTACTTGATGTTGGCTGCAAAACAAATTCAATTGCATTAAGGAAACTTATCCTATGGTTAGAAGGGAGAACATGAGAGTATGCTATCTCCTTTCCATTTTGCCATAAAAAAGAGCTGTTAAGGCAAATTGGTGGATTCTTTGGTAGAAATTTAACAATTACCAACTACCACTCAGGAGGACGGTGCTAACTTACTTGCGTGTACTCTTCACTCCCTAGTTGTGAAGTAAAACTGTGGTTTAAACAATTCTCATGCAAGCAGAGAGGGAAAAAATTGTAAGAATTTGTTCATTCTTGACTATGTGAATGCCATCTTGAATCACATAGGCATTGAAAAGAGCAGTAAATATCCACTTTATGTTGTAGAACCCCAAAACAGAAAAATCACTTGTGTAAAAGCTGTGCTTTGCTTAGTGGGATTTCAAGACTTTACTCTGTCGTGCTCAACTGAATGTTTTAACCTACATAAAAAGAGTATATAAGTAGCTAAGTCATCTTTGTAAAACCACAAAAGGATTTAACATACAGTAGGGAAAATAATCCATTCCTTTTTCTGCTGGCAAAGAACACCAGAACTTCTAAACATAGCAACGTCATATTTTCTTACCCTCACAATTTCCTTTTCACTTTCACTTCTCATTCAAGAAAGCTGAAATATCAGCTCTTTTTTTCTCATTTCCCTACTCTGTAAATCTACCCTTTCTTCTAGAAATCCTGTGTAGCCATCATCTGGCAAGCCTGTCTACTTCAGGGTAAATCAAATAGGTCTCCTGCAAAGGCGACATTTTCAAAGTTCAGTGTGTGAAACTAAACAAATATTTGTGTGACCCTAACTTACATATGTGGAATTCATATCTACAAATATCAAAGCCGTACCTAATTAGACATGGGTGCGTGAAAAGAACTGATTTGTGCACATACACTGTGTATGCTTGAGTATAATTTGTCATTGTACAAATATGTGACTGAGTTGAGTCTTTCTAAATTTTTCACTTATTTTCTTCCTCTTCTTTGCTCATACTATTAGTTCCTGCAAGCCCTGATTTAGGCAGAGGCTGCACCATCATCTAGAACATCTTCATCCCTATATGCCAGGCATTAAAAATTTTAATCTCAGAACTCACTTTTTCCCCTTATCTGAAAGATATTCCTACCTTACATTGAGTAGAGTTTCCCGATCTCTTTTATTAACTCACAGCTATAGTAATGAGCCTTTAGCCTTTAGCCTTTCGTGTAAAATACTGTAACTGCTTTGATTTCTGCATGTTAGGGGAATAGACTTCTTTGCTGTATTGGAAGTTGAGCAATATTTTCTTTTGCAAGAAGGTATATGTGTAGTTTTGTCTGTCTGGTAAGCAGTTAGTCCTCATATACACAGTCTGTTTAACGCATTCTTCATATGCCTGGTGTAATTTAAAGGACCATATTTAGCTCTTTACTTGTATCCGTATAAGGCTTTTGACTGTCTGTCACAGCAATTAACAGCACTGATTTAAGACATTCACATCTTTCACCTGTCTGTTCCTGTTGCTTTTCTGAAGATTACCGACCTGGAAGAACTGGCAAAAGGGAAGATGTTTCAACCTTGAGCTTTTCCTGAGTAAATCCTGTTTTCTGAGCACAAACCACCTTTTTCAGGAGTTTAAAATCCAATACCAGACTATACAGTGTCATAGTTGTTGACACACATTTCTTCTTCAGATAGGACGGAAATCCGGGGTGGAAGGAATGGACAAGGCATAAGGCAGCGAGATTTTTTTAAACATCACAATTTGGTTCACTGGAAAGACCTTTCTTTGTGTCTCTTGTGAATCTAGGATAGCTACCCCCTTACTCTTTCCATCATTCAGAGGGTTCAACACTCTGCCTTTTTATGTTCAACATTCCCATAGAAGCACTCTTGTGTGTGAAGGAGTTTCAGATGCATATCTTTGAATTGTTTTCCAAAGATCAACATCATTATAGTATTAAGTTTATGATCTTATGGTTTACTGTTCTCACCTTTCCCCATAATAAATTTCTCTCAGTATAATTTAAATGTAACACAGCAGCTCTTGTGGCATTGAAAAACAGTACTTTCTGATGGCGTGTTTGTTCCTGTTGCTTAAGCATGCTGTCACTCCAGTGAGGATTCCTTTTTGCAATTTGTAATTATGTGCTGAAAATAAACTAAAGTTGTATTTCATTCCCTTTATACATTTGAGTTGTATGCTACAGTAAGCTTTGAAGAAAACCCACAGGTTTGCAGTACCACTCATTCATGACATCATGAAATAAACTTTTATATTCCCTGATCAGTACTTAGCTGTCTGATGGGTACTTGTGTGATATGAGGACTTCTAGGGATAATTATATAAACAATGAATATGTAGAATACTGCTACTCTTCTCGTTTCATCTGACTTTAAGTTAGATGTTCTGTAGCTTTATAATGTGTTACCTTATGTCATTCAAAGCTCTGTTGTACGCTAAACAGCTATCTAAAGCCTTTGACCTTTCTACTTGTTTCTCAGTGTAGCATTTAGTTTTTGTTGGAAACATTCAAACTGCATTAAAGTAACATTGGTTTGTATTCTGACTGAATGATTCCTTAACATTTTTTTTCTTTTTTAAGGTAAAAAAATCATATCAGAGCCTACAACTGTTAAGCTGATTACATCCCTGAAAACTGACAGTGTGAAATCGTCATCTGCTAAAGTTACCCTTAAACCTCCTGTTTTTGAGACTTCAACTACTGAAGTGGCTGTCACCAAAACAGAGGTCCCTGCTTTGGAGGAAACAACCCTAGAGACTGAAGAAGATACAGAAATGACTACTGAGGTGGCTGAGGAAAAAAGGGAAATGGAGGTGCTTATGGAGAACATTAAGTTAACCACCCTTCTACCTCAGACTGTCACAGATGGCGAAATAAGCACTTACGATACACTCGGAAGGACTGAATATGATGTTTCACCTAGGTTAACAGAGAGCACATCTGCAGCTTTGGAACTGGAGCACACTTACTCTGAAGCAGAATTGCCCGAGGAACAAGGTAGGTCTGAAAGCATTGAGGACGCTTTCTTGACCTCTATAATTTTTCAGGATAGCACAGCTGTAGCTAAGATTTCCACTGGTTCATGGGAAGATACTGAAACAGGAGATACACAAAAACATGATGCTGATAATCAGACTGAACAAATAGAAGTGGGTCCTATGATGACAGCTACAGATAGCTTGTTATCAACTTCTCGGAGAGAGTTTCCCAGGACAGGGACTTCAGTTTCACTAACAAAAGATAATATGTATCTTGGTGCACACTCAACAAAAGAACCCACAAAAAAGTCAATGGAGGCGAAATCTGACAAGAAACTTACAACTGTTGTAATCCCTAAAGCTTTGTTCACTGATCAGTATGATCTTACTACAGAGGGGGAGGGCAGAGAGAGCATGTACACTGTTATGCCTGATAGAGTTTCTGGCATGGCTACTGGTAGTGTCCCAGAATCAGATGTGCCTGCTGCGTCAGAGACACTCGTAGATGAGCATGCAGTAACCAGTGGACAATTTTCTACAGCAGATGAGTCAACTCAATTTGTTAAATTTAGTTCTACAATGGTGTTTGATAATGAGGCATCAGCTGAAGGAAGCAGAGAGGACCTGAGAGATGTGCAGCCTACAGTATCATCTGGAATACCTGTATCCTTTTCTGTATCAACTGTTAATCAAACAGGATCTGAGGCCGTCACTCTCTCAGCAATTACTGTTTCCCTGCAAAACTTTGGAGAAGGCACCACATCTGTTATCCACTCATCTCAGCAAACAGAAGGATCAGCCATTTTAGAGGAGCAAGAAAAAACAAAGGAGCCAGAAATGAGAACAATGGATGTTAAGATCCCTCATGCCATAACCGTCATTCCTACTTGTGTTACAGCAGAATCTGAGGGATGTTCTGCAAGTGAGAAGTTCACACAGGCTCCTCCAGCTTCTGGCATGTGGCTGCCAACAGATAAACATCAGGGGTATATGACAAAAGAATCATCTCATACTAAGAGAATACATGAGTTAGATACAGAAGATGGTATCTCTGGAATGGAGCCTACATCATCTCCAGGGCAAATTACAGAATATACAAAGCATCCAGGAGCTCCAGTTTCAGCAGTTACAGATGAAACTGAGACAAGCAAGGAGCCAGCGGAAACGAAAAGTGATGAAGAGGCTGTATCAGCTGATTTTGATCACAGAAAAGATACTACAGGTGTCTCCCACACAAGCAGCTCTTTGGATTTGGAAATGGTCACAGTATCCAAAACATCAGTGGATGAAACTGGTGCAACAATAAAGTCTTTTAGCTCCTCAGGTGTTACCATATTACCAACTGCTATGCCCACAATCATGGAGATAACTGAACATGAAGGAGATGAAACATCAGGGTATGTTTTGAAAACGTCCATTCCTACCCCAGAAGTTGAACAAAGAGAGGCTACTGACACATTGGTAGCAACGCCTGCTGAAGAAGTCTCTACTGAAATGGGGGTCTCAAAATATACAGTGACAGAGGAAGGCCAGACAAGTATTACGACATCAACTGAGGAAGAGTCAGTGGCAACAGTTCAAGACAGAAAAGGAACACCATCAGCTGGCTTTGGAGGGACAAAGGAATCCATTATATTTACAGAAGTAACAAAGGTAGATGCTACCGTTCCACAGAAAGAACGTGATGCTTCCCTAGTTCCAGTTACTGTAGTGAGTGAGGTCACTAGAGATATGCCAGTTACTGATCAGACTCCTTTTGATGGTGTCTTTCAGACAGAAGCCATAGAAACAACTGCAAAAGATAGTGAGGTGTTCCCAGAGGAACTCTCCACGAAAGATCAAGATAAGGAACTAGATACTGCCACAGAGTCTACCTTATCTGTGACATCTGTCCAAATGCATGAACAAAAGACAGCACCAGGATCTGAATCATCTCAAACAGCTATTCAGGAAAAACAAGATGAGACAGGTTCAGCTTATGATGAGACATATCCAGCAACCGAAGTATTAGTGCCTGCAGTGAAGCTCACAGATTATGGAAGAGTTCTGGGACCTGATGAAACTAGCACCAGGACCTTGCATCTCACAGTGACTCCAAAACCTGAAACTGCTACTGATCAAGAAGAGAAGGTCACTGAAGTGATGCCTGTAACAGTGGGTACCCAAGCAAAAACATACGAAAGCACAGGAACCCCCACCAGGGAAGAAGACAGTGATGTAGAGAGCCTGGAATCTGTGTTGCCCCCCCATATGATGCCAACAGGTCGTTCTACTGTGGAAAGCATTACTCATCTGACTTTGGGAGCTTCTCCAAGCCAAACTCTGGAAGGTTCAGGAATATCAGAAGAACCTGAAGATATCAAACCAGCTGTATCTTCAGCTAATGCAACAGATAAGGCAGCAATTCTCAGCGATGTAACAACACCTTCCATTAGTGCTGTAGACAAAATTCAGCCTACATCAGCATCCAAACCTGTTGTTACTCAAAAGTCACCACGTATCATTCCTGAGGAAGAAGAAGAGGTAACAAGCAATGACATCATCATCATTGATGAATCCATTTCTCCCAGTAAAGCCACTGCTGATGATGATCTGACAGGAAAGATGTTAGAACCAGAAATTGATAAGGAATATTTCACAGCATCAACTGCTACTGCAGTTGCACGACCTACTGCACCACCCAAAGTGAAGGAGGCCACAGAGGCTTTACAACCTCAAGAGGTGTCTCCTTCTGCTTCACACCCTGATAGTGGAAATGACATAAGATTGTATGTTATTCAAATCACAGGCAATGACACAGGTAAGATTTTGCCTTTTAGACCTGCAGTCCATCAGAATGGACAGTTTATCACAACAAACTGGTGTACTTTAGAATGTGCTGGGGATGTTTCTTGGATCACTGAAGGATGCAAAGTACAAGTTTTATCTAGACAGCAACTTACTAAATATTGGTAGGTCTATTTTTCTATCCATTAAAAAACTCTCAGAAATGTGGTATGTGTGTGGTTTGGGGTAAGATTAATTTCTGTGTAAGAACGAATATGAAACTGTTGTATTTCTTCTTAAAAGTCATGATGGCTAAAGTCCAGTTTTCTTATTTAATGTTGTCAAGCCACTGATTTAACTTGAGCTATCTGTGAAACAAGCATTTTAATTTCATAGCTTCCATTCCATGCATTACTAGTCCTAAACGAAGCACTAGAGTATTTTAACATTCCATTAGTCTGTAGCAATTAACAATGCTATGTACAGTGTAGTCAGCTAAAAAAGGTTAATTTGCGTCTGCAAATTGACATAATTTTTAGTTTTGTTACATTTTTTAGCTGATGATGCTGTACATGTGTATGTAGCTTCAATTCCATGGGTATCCAGAACAGAAACTCCTGAAGTAGCAAGGAACTCTTGAGTTTTATGATGAATATGTCTCCATAATGCAATAGCTGAAGGCTATGCAATTTTCCATTACAGAAGTGTGTCAACGGACTGTTATTTAGGATGTCTTGGTAAAACCTTATTTTTTAAAATGAAACGTGAAAGAACTGACAAAAAGGATAAAGCTCAAAATATCTATTAGGTTCAATGTTGCATTCTGTATAATTATTTTATAGTTATTTTATAATTAATTTATTTTTTGAAGGAACACAGTAAAAATTCATTTTATGTCTTATCTACCTTAACTATATGCAATGCTTTTGAATGGTTATATAAGAAACTGTTTTCTCATTGGTTCTCAGCCATAACATCTTTGAAGCCATAACATATCTTTGAAGAATTTATCCAACAGAATTCATAATTTATGGAAGACTTTTGGTTGGTTTTGTCAGGTTTGTGTTTGGTAGAGTTTAATTCAAAAATCAAAAGGCAGAAGTAGTTTCCTTGAGATGTGCCATATCATTATTGGACTTTTCATACAGTGGATTTTGTGTCTTTATTCACTTTATGCTTATTATCCTACTTTATATTTACAAGATGTAAAACTGCACAAGTCATATCAGTAGTAGCTTAAACTTCTATTTCAGAAAATAATAGTTCTGTTATTTTAAAATTTAAACACTGCTTTTGTTTCTGTGGTATAGTATCATTATTTTCTCTGAAGCTTTAGATGTTGCTGGTGTCTTGGAAGTCTCAATTAAATGAGACAAGTCCGGTAAGTCAGAGCAGAAGGGTAATTTCTGAAGACTAGAGTTAAGCTACATATTAAATACGTTTGTACCTGTGGAAATTTGGTTAATTCGGCTAAATAATTAATAGCTGGACTGTGTAGGAGTAAACTAGTTTTGCCTGTTACATTGTTGAGTTACACTACAGTTTACTGCGTATGGGGTTGTGCTGGGTAGCGGTGTGTTCCAGGTGGGTGGAAAGAAGTAGGATGGTTTGGGAGGCTGTGGAAACTTGGTGTTTTCTTCAGATAGTGCACAAAGTATATGATCCAGGATTTTTCTGCATATACATCAAGGAGAGTCTTATTTTGTACTTTTTTTCAGAATGGCGTGGGCATTGTGATTCATTAAATTAGGAATTAGTTCAAGCTGGATTATCTAAAGGACAGTAGATCAATGCATAGCTGCTCTCCATAGCTACTCTTGCTTTCACGTGGGTGATCAGGTCCTTAGGACAGACTTTCTTCACGATTTGCCTTCTGCATCTTCACAAACTTTCAAAGCTGTGCATGCATTTTCCAGGTATATATATGTGCATACATGTGTGGGTTTTATAAGCAGGGTTAAAGCTATACATCCTTAAAATTCTGCCTTTAGGAATGATTTAGTCTGTCAGCATAGAAAAAAAATTCCTTTTCTTGAAATATGAAATTCTCTATATGGCAGTGTCTCTGTTCTCTTTAAACATAAAGGGATTTGTCATGTATCTAGTGCAAGGTCAAAAAGGAGTTTTCTTTATTTTTCTGCTTTCAGAATCTGACAGCGGAAATTCCTTCATTTAGCTATCCACAGAGAAAAAGCACTCTGTACCTACTTACCACAAGTTAAGTTAGAGCTGCCAAAGATTTATTCTGTCTGAGGATTCAGATTAGTGTTTTCTTTTCTTTCTCCAAAAGTGAAAGACTGCATCTGAAAAAACCTGTCAAGCCCAGTTTCACTACATTGTTCCTCAGTCCATAAAATTTTCTTTGTGCTGAAGAAAATGTACATAGGAGGTGCTGAAGAGGAATGAATTTGGCAAATATTAGTAACATATGCCTTTCACAAGGATGTAGTTCAACTTCTTATTCTGTCACTCTTTGTTTGAAAATTGATCTGCAGTCATACAGGAACTACATAAACTGTACCTTTGGCTTTTTGTTCTCAGCTAAATGGGAACAAGAAATACAGTTTTCATCATTACATCCCTCTGATAAAACAAAGGTTTTTCCTCCTTTGCTTTGGTATGTTTTCTAGGTAATATAGCTTAGCATTCTTAAATAAAATAATCAGTGAGGGTTATAAGCAAAAGCCTTCATGATTTTCAAGTCAAGAGTCCAAAAGTGCCTCCTAAGAAATGACAACTTGCTTACCAAAGCCCTTCAAATAATAGCTGTTTCAAACAGGAATAATAATGAGAAGTTTGCTGTATAAATGGCATTGTGTATAAATAAATATAATATTTTCCTTTTTGTGTATGCACAAGTGTTGGAAATATTTATGAGATTTTTTTTTTCTGCATCTTTCTTCACCTCCTTGTTATTCACCTTTTGCCAGAAGCAACAGTTTAATAGTGAAGCAGGGCTCAGCGGAAATATGGTACCATGTTTTGTTTCCTATCAGCCATGTCACTTAATTACAGTAAAAACTTGCTATTATACTAACACAGCTGAATATTACTCTCTGCAGCTCCATTTACCATCTGTAGCGTAAGCATAATAATATTTAAGTGCTCCATGGAGGTGCTATTAGGCTTTGTTAGTTATGAGCAATATTTTATACTCCTTGTGGAAGAGAAGGGTCATGCCAAACAAATGGAGTTTTGAGAGATGCAGATGTTTTTAGTAGTTCCCAGCAAGCAGGACAGAGCATATCCCTTGCAGTGTAGGAGTCCTTTTGTGATCAGTGGGTGTCCTACCTCCCAGTGAAGTGTGGCGAGAGCAGCCCACTGCTGCTCTGGGTCTGATGAGTTCACCTGTGGCCATGCACTGGTAGAGGGAGAAGCAGGAAGAATTTCTTGAGCCTTTCTTCTCAGTCTCAAACCCTTGCTAAACTGGCACCAACTTCACTGAAGCACTTTGAAGTCTTTGGCTGGAATGTGCTGTTGATGTATGGAATGTGTTATGGATGTATGGAATGTGGGGGATATTATTCTTCATTATTACTGTGGACTCAAGCTGCACTTGAAAGACGTTGAATGTTGACTGGGTTAAATTCAATTAAATATAGTGGCAAGGATCTTAGGCTGTCTGAGACACCCCCCCCCCTTTAATATGAAGTAGTACAATACATAAATGAAAGCTGATATTACATATTTTCAATTTTTAATACAATAAGCCCTTACATTTATTAGACCAGAAAAAGTTTCTCCTAGAGGACTTCTTTTCTTATGCCATCCAAGAGGTAAATAGTTATACTCCTAGCTTTTAAAATGCATGCTTGCAATCCATTAAAACTTCCATAAAGGAAGTTTCGGTTACTTTTAGATAAAAAAATTTACCCATGGAAACAGAAGTAATTTCAGAGAGTGGTGGAAGGTCAAGCTCATTAGCTTAAATTCTGGAAAAATGTGCTCTAGTGCTGAACACACCACTGAATGGATTAAGCTGCTTATTTGTGTAAGAATACAGCAGTTTTTATTGAGAAAATGTATTGTACAAACAATCCATATACTTCCATGTGAGCAAGTGTGAGGCAGGTGCACAAATTAATGAAGGATATAAGGCATGGTTTTTCTGACAGCCTATGGCACATGGGCAGATCTAGGGCAGGTGTTCCAATTAATGAGGAAAATATATTTGTGCATTGGGAGACATCCCTTTTTATGCTACAGAAAGGACCATGCACATGTTTCATAATGGAAGGAGCTTGGGACTTCATTCACTTGAGTGGAACAACGGGCTGTTCCCTTGGGATCGTGACCGTGTTGTGAAAGTGAGAAAGCAAAATAGCCCTGCGCTGTGATGTGTTATCACATTAGCAGCTTTCTATTGCATTAGATAGGACAGAGGAGTTTGTCTTTCACTGCAAAGATCCAAAACTTGCCACCTCACGCCCTTTTATGTTCTCAGAGCTCCTATGTATTGTAGAGGTGAAGGCTGATGCTGTTGCTGGAAGGTAATGGATTAGCAGCTGAAAAAAAACCAAACCTGAAGGAACTTTTCAGCTCATAAAGCTTTTATGAGCTGAAAAATGCTTGTGGGGGTGTGTTTAACAGTGGTTGAGGGGATGCTGGAAACATAACTCCTGTCTGTATCAGGAGTAATTTGCACACCTGCATTTTTTGGAGACATTTAAAAGTCTTTACTTAGCGAATATGTTTCAAAGTGCTTATTGGACCCTGGGACTCACACCAGCTCTGTCTGGTTTCTTGTCCCCTCCAGCTTTGAACAGAATGAAATTGCAGGAACTTGTGCTTTGTCGATGTGGAATTTTATGGAAAGAGGTTGCAAACCTTTGTGTTTCAACATGTAATTCTCTGACACGCATATTTCTGTCTTAGCAGTGTAAGAGGGCATGTGAAATTTGAATGAAATGCAGAATGGTAATGAGTCATAGTCATAAACCTTAACAAAGAAGGCAGAACAGAGTCTTTTCAGGTCCGTCTGAGTCCTTGTCTTAAAATTCATTTAATCCTGTTGTCTTCACAGCTCCTCCTGGA